GTTAATATACCAACAGATTCCTCGTCTCTGTGGTTGAGCCCACCATCCGGTGTGTACCCAGCGGTTCTTAGCTCTGCTCCAACCTCTAGGAGCGCCATACCCCTTCCTCTATTAGCCATCACCCATACCTTCTCTGTCTACTGAACCCTAAGGAGAAGTGCTGACAGAGGTCAAAGGCAAGGGTAACACCACGTGAGGCAGGTGGCTGGGGGGAAGCAGAGAGGGTAGAAGTCCTCATTGGCACCATAACGTGGGCTCGTAGGGCTCCACCCCCTGCTGCAAGGCCATGGGCCAGTGATCTGACGTTCAGAATCTCATTTATTTATTTATTTATTTTTAAGAAACTTGACTGAGACTTTATTTATCCATCTGTTATTTAGTCAGCAAATATTGTGTCCCCAAGGTATACCAACCTCTGCTCTAGGGGCTGGGGAATACGTTAGTAAATAAACAACAGAAAATTCCCCACCTCATGGAGTTTACATTCTAGTGTGGGGACATAGACGATCAAAACACGTAGAATAGATATTACACGGTGCTACGTGTCTTAGAGAAAAAGGAGGGCCTGAGGTGTCTGTGGGCGGGGGAAGGAGGGGAGTTGCAACTTTATTTTTAAAAATTTTATTAGCGTATAGTTGATTTACAACGTTGTGTTAGCTTCAGGTGTACAGCAAAGTGAATCAGTTATACATATACATACATCCACTCTTTTTTTAGATTCTTTGCCCGTATAGGTCATTACAGAGTATTGAGTAGAGTTCCCTGTGCTATGCAGTAAGTCCTTATTAGTTATCTATTTTATATAGTAGTGTGTATATGTCCAACCCAATCTTCCAATTTATCCCTCAGTAAGTCAGACAGAGAAAGACTAATATCATATGATATCACTTATATGTGGAATCTAAAAAAAGGGTACAGATGGACTTATCTACAAAACTGAAATAGAGTCACAGATGTAGAAGACAACGTTTGGTTACCAGAATCTCCTTTAGTCCCCTTGATTACTCTATGGCAGTGGTTCTCAACTGGGGATAATCTGTCCCTCCAGGGGACATATGGCAATGTTTGGGGACATTTTGGTTGTCCTTACTGGGTGGGGGCAAAGTCCTGCTGGTATCTAGTGGGTAGAGGCCAGGGATGCAGCTAAACACCCTACAGTGCACTGGGCAGCCCCCATCACAAAGCAGTACCCAGTCCCAAGCGTCCGTAGAGCTGAGGCTGCGGAACCCTGTGCTTTGCAACCACCGTTCTCCCCATCTGACAGACAAGAAACAGGCTCACCCCAGACATTCAGAAACTGTGCAACAAAGCTGGGATTTGATCCCCAAAACGTGTGATTCCAAAGCCCAGACTCTCGCTTGACCACCATGCTGTCGTTTCCATGGACAGCACCACACTACCTACAGAGTGAAGCCGGTGCCTCCAGCTGACCTCAGGGTCCTTTCTAGACAGCCCCCAGACTGTCTTTCTGACTGCTGGTCAGTCTAAGATGTTTGCTGTGTCAGCCTCAGCTGCCCTTCCCGGTCTCCGCTCACACGGTTTCCCAACCAACTCATATATGATCCCCCTTAACGCTTCCTCCCTCAGAAATTCTTCCCTGCTCCTCTAAGAAGAAGTCATCAGCATTGTCTCTGCAGCTACCTGTCTCAGAATCGTCACCACGTGCACATTTACGTAGCAGTTAGCATCCCTCCGGTGTGCTGGACGCCGCGTGTGCTCCGCCTACATTTTCTCCTGGAATCCCCACGGTGACCCCGCAGGCCGGCCTCATCATCCCCATTTCATGAGGGAGGAAGCCAGGGCTCAGATGAGTTAAGTGACTAAGGTGGAATCACAGCATCAAGGAACACGGGTTGTGGATGGGAGCCCGGACCTCTGCTCACCGGGCCAAGGACCTCCCCACTAACGGTCAGCAACCACATGTGACTCAGCTCCTCTCCCAGGGCCTGTCTCCACCTTGAGAGGTGCTAAGTTGGAAAGGATGCAGACCTGCCAGCAGGCCCCCCGCATGGGAATCAGAGAGACCAGGGGAGGGGAGCTGACACTGACCGAGTGCCGACCCTTTATCGGTCACAGAGCTGGGTAATTTGCATCGTCAGAATCACTTTATATTCACAGCCACCCTGTTGAGTAGGTGTTACTATTATTATTTTTTTTTCAGTTAACAGATGAGGATTCTGAGCATTTGGTCTGTCTATTGGCCTTGGTTAAGATCACAGACAAGGTGCCTGGTAGAGCCAGGGTTTGAACCTGTCAATTCTGCTAAGATCCTCTTTCTGTGTTACGAGGAGGCAGCTTTCAGTTGAGTAAGAGGAAAATCTTTCTAGCCATTAGGGCTTTAAAAAAAATGAAACACGTTCTTTCTGGATATAAGAGCCCTGTGCATGCGGAGGAAAACCAGTGGACAGGTGGGTGACACTGCCAGGGAAACCATCAAGGAGCCTGGTAGGTGGGGAAACAGGCGCTGGGTAAGACCTTTAAGTCCCTTCTCTGGTCAGTGGATGAGAAACCTCCCTTTCCTCTCTGTCCCCATGGGGCTCTCTTCAGGGGGTGTGGTCACAGTCCCTGAGACAACCGTGCTCAAAAGGGAACTCTCCAGGTGGCGCTTTCTTTTTGTTTTACATCTTTATTGGAGTATAATTGCTTTACAATGGTGTGCTACTTTCTGCTTTATAACAAAGTGAATCAGTTATACATATACATATGTTCCCATATCTCTTCCTTCTTGCGTCTCCCTCCCACCCTCCCTATCCCACCCCTCTAGGTGGTCACAAAGCACGGAGCTGACCTCCCGGTGCTATGCAGCTGTGTGGCGCTTCTTGAGTCTTTTTTTTTTTTACTTAGCAGGTCTCAGTGTGAGAACTGAGATCCTTGTTTGGGCTCATTGGAAAGTTGGGTACAAGTTACTCCCCTCGTCTGGGCTACAGGATACAAGCAGGCGCACAGAATTCTCTGCATTGAAGTTTCAAGCCCACTTGATGACACTCCACTCCTCTGCTCTCCTGATAGAGCATTTCGGGAGAGATGTCTCTTTCTGCTCTAAGACCAGAGCATGCCTGGGTCCCTGGCTAACATACCATATTAATACCTTCAATCTCCCACCTTTCATTTCTAATGCTTTCCAACTCTATGATCTTACAATATGTGTTAGAAAATTCCCATCATGACTTTCATCTTTTGGAGGTAAGGAGCCCCCTGGATCCTGAGGGAATCAAGGAACAGGGGGGTGATCACCTATCAGGGATGCTGTCACTGACATGATGGAGGAATTTCAATGAGGAAGGATAACTTCTAAATTCACACAGTCCATGGAAAAATATGAGTGTTTTTCAGTATAGCTTTTGGACTAAATGTGATCGTTTCCAGGATTAAAAACAGAATAAACTATTTGCATAAACCCATTGTGTTTCAAGTCAAAGATGAACAGACCAAGATATCTGGGAGACAGAGTCACACCAACCCATGACAGGCATTCTTGTTCACTCTGTCCCCACACCAAAGGCCCGATCCCACCATGTGACCCTCTCTCTTCTATTAAAAGTGGCATTTGGATCCCTAAGCAGAAAACTCAGATACATTGAAAATGAAACGTTTTATTTTGAAGCCCTTGGGGCTTTTTGCCAAGTCATCATCTTTGACTGTTCTGACTTGTATTCTGGCAGAGAATACACTTTCTGCTGGCAAATGACCAATCATGCTTAGGCCGACTGCTTGCCAAAGTCATTTGTATGATTGATTCCGTGATAAACATCATCTGGTGATGTCTGTGTTCTCTGGTTCATACAAGTATCATGGGGACCCTCATGTCCCCTCCTGGAGCATGTATATTAAAGAACCAGTACACGACAAAGGAACCAACCAGGGAGGTGGGGAGAGATGAATTGTTTTCATTCAGTGCCCGAGAAAACTCACAAGTTCATATACATATTTTTTGCATTCTAACAACATCATGTACTGTAGTATGTTTTTGAGGAATTCGGGGGAAATCACTGAGATCAAGAGAGACCCCAGTTGCTTGAACCACACGGTGATAACTAATGACACTCACATAGCTTGTATGGTTTTCCCACAGCTGCCATCATTCATTCCCTCATTCATTCCCACCAGTTATCACTGTGCACTGGGGGCTCCTGCCCTCAAGGGGCACCGTCTACCCGCCTTAATATGCATATATGCAGATGACCGTGAGACACTGTTAAAGCAGCATCCGGTGGGAGGAACTGACTCTCTACGCTGTGTGCTGGGTGCTGGAGCTATAAGGTGAGTTATATGCAAACTGAGTATCCCAGTCTAGGGGTGCATCGATCCCAGGATAACTTCAGCACCACAGAATAGACTGAAAGGATGTTCCTATCCCCATTGTATGAAGGGGAAACCATGGTTCTGAGAGGTTAAATGGTGTCATTTTCAAATGATAATTGTGTAAGAAAAAAAAAGCCTCGAAATTCGTTTGTCATAATTCTTTCTGCTAAAATAAAACTGAGTTATTAGTTGCCAAATAGCTCCATTAGTCATCTTCAGCTTTTAAATTTAAAAGAAATAAAACAAAAATACGTACTGAATGCCCCATTTTTATAGGACACTGAGCTAAGTATTCGGGGAAGGTTGGAACTAAAATAACAACAACAAAAAACCAAGCTGGAAAGCTGGGCACGGGTGCATCATGTTGTGGGTTGAAAGAGGACAGCGTTTGAAATCATGACACCAAGATGCTTTGGGTGTTTGAGCTGCCACGGATCAGCTGCTGAGCTTCACACGAGACCCTCCCCCTCTGGACATCCCTGTCCCTGTGAGTAGAATGAGGGGCTGGACCAGAACCTTGTTAAGAGCTTTCTAATGCTCAGGACCTTGGAGTTGGCACACGGGCAATCAGGACTGACACCCAGGGCCGGCATGGTGCACATCCAGCGGCAGGGCCATTGCACCCCACCCAAGCCTGGTAGAAGCTGAGCCCCCCACTTCCACAGCCCTCGCGTTCACCACACAGGCGCACATCTTACCCAGCCCCGCAGCAGCTCATAGGCCGTGACACCCAGGGACCACCAGTCAACGGGGTAGGAGTACCCAGGGCCTCCGTCCACATACACCTGGAACACTTCCGGGGCTGCCAAAGACAGGACAAAAGAACATTACTGCACATCTCACTTTCCACTCATTGCCTCTTACAGAGAGGACACGGGGCCAGGAACCCAGCTTTTTGGATGGCAAAGCCAGTACTCCATCTGCTATGCCACGTGGTTTCTGCACTCCGTAAGTCACGAGGTGGCTAGAGAACAAGGTGCAGGCATCACAGGAAACACCGGTGTGACACCTGGGACAGAATACAAATGGGGCAACCCAAGTGTGCTGTGGAGGGTGTTCTGTCGGGGAGGGTCACGGAAAGTCTGGGGAGGAGGAGGGTTTGCTGGAGCATGAGTCACGGTCACAGCCTGGGGATTAAAGTCTGAGTTAAGAAGAAACTGCACCCCCAAGGGGCTAAGAACCTTGCTAAATGTCATTCTGCTCTGGCACCAACACCAGGTCAGGTGTCCTAACAACTAGGATGCTCAGAGCCCTTTGTGCCTGGTGCCTGTCTCAGGTACGGTTTTATTTTAGCATAGGTGGGATCGAATATGAAATATCCAGGATAAGTAAATGCACAGGGACAGAAGACAGATCGTGGGGTTGCCAGGGGCCGGGAGGGGGCATGGGGAGCAACTGCTCACTGGGTTTCCTCTGCGGTGATGAATGTTCTGGAACTAGACAGAGGTGGTGGCTACACAGCATTGTGAATGTGCTAAATGCCACTCTGTTTGAAAACAGTTCATTTTACATTATGTGAATTTCACCTCAATAAATAAACAAGTGGAGGGTGGAGGCCCGTGGGTGATGGATCCTCACTCCTCAGGGGGCTGCAGCTGTTCCAGGGTCCCCTGGCCCTGCTGCTTCCTAAGCTAAAGGGTGGTGGGTTCATCATTACCTCACCCCCAACTCATCAGGCCAGGAGTTGCATCTCCAGCTCTAATTGTTCATATTGGCTTCCAGGAAAGTCTTGGGAAATGTGGATCATTTCTAGCAAATTAATTTGTAGATATAATTCCATTTTACAGGTGTCAGAGCAGCCAAACTCTCTCGCAGGGAACCAGGACATGCTGTGTTTAAAGACATCTCGACTCAATTTTCAGACTGGCATTCAGACGGCGTGGGATTGGGGAGGGCCAGATGAGGCAGATGAGGGCAGACATGGATGCTCGAATCTGGGCTCTGGATTGGCAGCTGGACCACTGAACCTGACCAGCGGGCAGATCTCAGCTGCCCTCTAGAGACCCTCTCCATTTACTTTGTATTTTCTAGCACTTTCACCCGAGGGTTCTCCTTTCCTCTTCACAACAACCCTCAGGGCCGTGTTATCATTTGACACATTTTACCGAAGAGGTTCAGAGAGGGACAGAGGTGCACAGGAAGTTACACAGCTGGGAAGTTCAGAGCTGAGGTGCGCCTTATACACTGGTCGAATCCCAGTTTGAAATAAGGTTCGTATCAACATTTGAGTACAGAAACATACCCAGTCTACGTTGGGGAAGATGTGATTGGGAGTTTGAGGAAATGTCCCTTTGGGTAATTTGAGCTTCCCAAAGGAAGCAACATGGTGTGATGGGAAACAGGAAGAAGGTCAGTGGGGCTGGAGCTGAATTAACAAGTTCTATTTGCCTCAGTTTTGTAAAACATGAACAAGAATCAACAGTGTGTTCATAGGGTTCTTATGAGGATTAAGGAACAACGCAGGCTGAGAGCTAAGCCGGATGCCTGGCTGGTCTATTGTGAGTGTTCCGAGAATCTTGGGCATGGTTTTTATTACTAGAATTGTCATTCAAACCTCCTCTTCTGATCGTGCTCAGCCTCGCCACGGTCCACCCAGTCAGCCTGGGAGGCGAGCTAAACTTCATCGTCCTCAGCCTCGTGACTATCAGTCTACAGACCCGCTGAGTTTGGCATTTCCAGCGTCTTTCTGTCCGCCCCTTCCTATCGATCCTAGATCAACCTGAATGCAAAGGTGGCAATCATGCCTGTTCATTAAACATCTAGTGAGAAAATATTTGATTTCCTAGCAGCTCCAGGCACTGAGCCGTGCTATTCTGCATCCCACTGGGAGCCGGAGGCTGAGCTCCAGCCCAGAGGGGCTTCCTTCCCTGCACCCCAATCTGTGTACTTGTCCTTCTTCCCTCCGTGCTGAGGGTTCCAGGACAGAAGGAGCCACATCATGCTGGTATGTGCATGTGTAGATGTAATTCTACAGAACCAAGGCCTCGACAGCTGCTGGCCCAGCCCATGTGCTCAGTGAGGGAGGCAGGGATATGCCCAGGAGTGCAGGCGACGCTGCGTGCCCAGGTGTCCCCACAAATCCTTGTGGTGCCTGGCAGCCCCATGCCCATCTGGAATGCAGGGTAGAAGCAGCAGCTGACCAATTCTGTCCTGGCTGTTGTGACCAACCAAGTGACAAACGTCTGCAGCCTGTGACCCCACTCCCAGGGAAGGTGACAGTCTCTCCTCCCTTGCACGCTGGGGCTGACAGAACATAAACAACCTTTATGTCACAATCCATATGCCACCAGAACGGCTGCTTTAGTGGCCTGGATCAGTGATTAGAGGCGAGGGCATCATACAGGATTAGAGCTTGAAGGACAGGTACAAGACACATACCTGTCACCATCATTTCAGGTATGAATGAATGAGTATGGAAACTACAGTTTGCCAGGTGCTTTGTTAAGGATTTTACACGTACTACTTCTCTTCATCCTCCCAACCGCCCAATAAGACAAGTCTACAATGATCTCCACGTTCCAGATGAAGAGGCAGAGACATGAAGGGGTGTAGTTGGGTGAAGTGTCCCCAAAAGATATGTCCAAGTACCTGTGAACGGGGCCTTACTTGGAAATAGGGACTTTGCAGATGTAATTAATACAGACGTCAGGATAAAGCCATCCCGGATTCAGGGTGGACCCTTCCTAGATTCAATGGCTGATGCCTTTCCAAGAGAAAGAAGAGGTGGATTTGAGAGAAAGAGAAAGCCGTGGGAGAGGCAGAGCCTGGAGGGATGCGGCCACAAGCCAAGGAAGCCCTGGAGCCCCCGGAAGCTGGAAGAGCCTCTCCTACACCTCCGAGGGAGCACGGCTCTGCAGACACCTTGATATTGAACTACTGGCTTCCAGAACTGTGAGTGAATGAATTTCTGTTGCTCCAAGCCACCACATTTGTGGGACTTTGTTGTGCAGCCCTAGGAAACTAGTAAGAGGGGCTGGGAACTTGCTCCAGGTCAGCCAGCTGGGATGGCAGAGCTGGGATTAGCCTCTCTCAGTATCTGATTCCAAAGTCCTTTCTCCTATACTGAGGTGACTTCCAGGGGTGATGGACTTACCTGAGGATGGGTCCTAATGAAAGCTGCTACCTTCCTTCCCTCTGTCCCAGAGCCTGGCACTCAGCCAAGTACATGGTAGGTACTTAATCAATGCATGTCAATTTCACCCTGGTGCCATACAGCTGGTCCAGCACATTGCTTGCCTGCTTCAGAAGTAGAGACAGCTCACAGCCTAGGACTGTCAGCACGGCAGAGGTGCAGGGTCCCTTGGAAACCATCTTGTCATCGTCCCCTCTGTGTTAGAATTGGCCACCGGGCTTGAGGGGCGAGAGTGGCTTGCCTCGGCCACAACTCACCAACTCAGGGCTCAAGTCAGAACTCCTGGTCCTGACTTCCAGGTTCAGGGAGTTCCCATTATTGGAACAGTTAAATTCTGCCATCAATGCCAGATGACTCCCCCTCCTCAGCTCCTGTATCCCCTTCGTCCTCTTCGCCAACACATGGCCCTTGTTCAGATCCCCATTCCTTCCTCCTGGTCTCCTGCACTAGCTTCTCCACCCATCCTCTGGCTTCCAGAGTCTCCTTCTCCAGTCCGTCCTTGCTTCTGGGGGAGTTAGCTTTCTGACATGCAACTCAGACCACGGCAGTACCCTGCCTCAAGGTCTTCCTATCACGACGGCTGTTTCACAATCTGTATTCCCAGGAATGCCACCAGCCATGTTAGGCTCATAGATTTTGGAGGAGAAATGATTCTGAGGTCAAACATGTCTGGGAAATGACGAGGTTCAATTGCGTTCTTTCTTGTAGACTTCTTAGCGCCTTTAATGACTCAATAGCAAACATGGTTTGGAAATTTATTAGACTTGATCCTGGAATCTTTTTGATTTTTCAGTGGAACAGTACAAAGTACTAGGGCTGGAAACCCATGTGGCCTAGAGGGTGGTTTAAATTCTGTAGCCCCTCAGCTCCTACCTGTAGATCTTCTAAGCTGTATTATGGCCCAGGAGTTGCCCATGGCCACCTTGGGCTCCAGCTGCACACGCTGCTTGCCGTTCCTAGAACACCCTGTCTGTACATCTGTCTCTTTTTCTCTCCCCTAATCCACCAGGTTCTCTCACAAAGGGTGCAGCTTCAGAGTTACCACTTTTAGGAACCAAATACGTACCATTCTGCAGGCTTCTTTACATCTGTCATGTATTCCTCAAAATACATCTCTGCTATTATCATTTTCTTATCATTCCCCTCCCTCCAGACTAGATTAGAGCTTCCTCTTTATCCCCACCTCCCCCAGGCATCTCTTGATTTTTACATTCCGGCTGCATTTTTGCTTATTTGTTTGCTTCTTGCTAGACTTTAAGCTCCCTGAGGGCAGGGACGGTCATGTTCTCCCTGGCTCCCCAAGTCTAGCCTGGCATGAAGAAGGCACGTGGGCAAGGTTTGTTGACTGACTAAATAAATGAATGGTCGTATTTAAAAAAAGCAAACAACACCAGTACAGCCCTCGCTATGTGCCAAGCCCTGTTCTAAGTTCTTGACACACTGCTAATAAAAATAGCTCATCTCTCTGGAGCATCTGTCATGCACCAAACTTTGTTTTAAGAGTTTAGCAGGTATTAACTCATTTAATCTTCACAATGATGTGCAATTTGGCTAGCTGCAGCTGAGTCTCACTGAGGAAAGGACCAGGAGGTTCTGGGCTGATGCTGGCAAGGCTAGGACTGGGGGTTCCCTGGAGCAGAGTGAGTGATGAAGGAGCCCTGAAGGGGGAG